AACAGCTGTTTCACCATATTATAATAAAATAACAGAATGTCACAGAGGAGCCCTCATGTTGTACAAATGAATAATCAGGAAAACGTGGTTATCTTTAAACACTTTAAAGGGGACCTATTATGCAAAATACACTGGTGTTCGAACATTGATGTGTCCACAGTGTGTGCTATTTCAATGGTAAAAATCAACCCACTCTTTTGTGTGTCTATACCCATTAATCAGGAGCAAACCTTACAAGCAACAAGATGCTGAAGAAAACTTTCATTTACTAACATAATGTACATGTTGTATCAAAAGTTTGAACTGATAAGGCTTTACAATGCATGCAGATGATAAGCATTCATGGCAAAGACCTGAAATGTCACAGGATAGCTGGTGGAAGTGAAATATTGAGAGTATCTGAGAAACAAGTTGTAAAGGCTCCACCTTTCAGGCTGGAGCAGCTCATTTCCATGCTAAAACATCATTTTCCCCACCCATAAATGTGCATGTACATCATGGTGCAGTAATCTGCATTGCATTTTGATCTGAAACTTTGATCTGAAACACACTCTGAGCACACCTGAGAGTTTTTTTTTTTAAAGAGCCCCTATTATTGGTTTTTGAAAATGAGCTTCCATGGAGTGTGTAACACAGCACCAAATGAATAAAAACATCCAGCTGAGGTTTAAATTTGTAAGTGCACCTTGTTTAAAACTATTGATTCTTTAACAAAATGGTCGACTAAGAGTAGAATATATGAATCGTGTTGGATTTAAATCTTTTGCCAGAACGTATTGACGTTGATATGGTACATCACCAAATATTAAGTGCCAAATCCGGTAAAACGTGAATGAGCCTTTCCCTTCAGACACTAGCGAAGCACGGGGGATCATGGGACTGATCATGACATGAAGATGACTATCACTGACGGATGGAAATTAGGCTGTGGGGAATAAAGGGTTAAAGTTCACTTTCACAAAAATCCCATAGTATAGCCAACCGTGTGCTGTGTTCCGGTCCTTTTTCAGATTTTTGATACAATAACACACTGCCAAGCGGGATTCGTCTGCCATTTGCTGTTAAAGGAAGAAGCAGCAGAGACTGTTATCGGTAACACTTTACAATAAGGTTCATTAGTTAATGCATTTACTAACATGAACTAATCATGAACAACACATGTACAGCATTTATTAATCATAATTGAACATTTACTAATGCATTATTAACATCCAAGTCCATGCTTGTGAACATTAGTGAATGGACCATGAGTTAACATGAACTAACAATGAACTACTGTATTTTCATTAACTAACGTTTACCAACATGAACAAATATAGTAGTAGATGTGTTGTTAATTGTTTGTTCATGTTAGTAAATGCATTACTTAACATTAACTAATGAACCTTATTGTAAAGTGTGACCCTGTTATGTATGGGATTTTGTCAGACTTTGACAGAGACTTTGTCAGTAACTGTTACATTCAGGTCTCATACACATTTTTGCTACAAAAAATCCTTGACTTTTCCAGGACTTTCAAGTCAATTTTCATGACTCAATGTTTCATGTGATGTCTATATGTACTTGTTAAATCATAAGAAACGTTTGCATTTATTACAGCATATCATAAAACATGCAGTAGTTTCAATTTATTTCGATATCTATGTATTAGATATTAGATATCCTTGTGCATTTTTTTCCGCATAGACTTCCATTCATAGGCATGCGAATGCGGCAGATTAGAAACGTTGACGGAAGTTTCGCATTTCACTGCATTTGAAAGTTCAAGCTTGGTGAATTCTTATCTGTTAAATCACACTCAGGTGATTACGTGAGACCAATAGAAGATAATTTAACATATTTAAAATATGAAGCAATCGCTCACTTTTATTGATGTCTAATCACATTGTTTAACCCCTCTTTTCGCAACGCCGTAGGACAGAACTTTGCAAGCACAAGCTCTACTGTGACTACAGCTTAAGTCCCTTTGGACAAAAATGTAAATGTAATTTCCATGACTTTTCCAAAACCTACTGAGTTTTTCTGTTTTTCCGAAACTTTTCCAGGCCCGGAAAATGCCATGTCATGCCATGACTTTTCCAGGTTTTCCATGATTGTTTTAACCCTGTACAATTCATTTGTACCAGTTTCTTCTTAATCCGGATCATAACATGTAAGTGTAATTAAAATTGTTGCCTCGTTTTGTTTAGTAAAATATGTATTTATTTGTGTGTTGTAACTAGCTCTGCGTGACTTGTAATCACTTATCTATTATAGATCAGTGCTTGCACTGTATCTCTCAGATTAAATCTGTATGGGCTGTTCACATTTTGCGTCCAAAACCATGTTAAAAATGTGACGTGCTTCTTTCTTTACAGATTTAAATGCGTTTCTGAACTCGCAATCCTCTGCCGTTTGTTCATTGCCATGGCCCCCATCAGATGTTCCTCACAAGTGTGGTGCGCTCAATTTTCAAAATAGATCAACTTTTGCCACGATGTGGATTAATACTGAATAAGTGTCGTTGTTATTACTTGAAGTTGTGGTTAAGAGTAGAATAATCTGCTGAGGTTTAACTGTATTGCTGATTGGGCTCTCTCATACTCTGTGCTACTTCATAACCGTGGTGGGCATTTCTCTCTGTCTCGCGCTTAACCCAGTCGACCAATCACAGCAGATTAGCCTCACAAAGGAGGGGTTTGGGAACCAATGAATCACTGAATGAATCACATGGGAGTCGTTAGGATAATTAGGTAAAAATAAAAACATATTATAAGACAATGAAAGTGTTTTTTGACCTTGCATGCATATCAGCCTGTTGTTGGAGCACCTCAAAACCTTTTAGAATGCATAATAGGGGCTCTTTAATAGAAAAAGGGGCATAATATGTCTCCCTTAAATATATTTAAAATAGTTTGCACCACACAGAGAACCTCTGTACAACGACATTCAGCTTACAGCCAGGGAAAAAAAAGCAGCAGAGATCGAAGGTAGGTACATTTTAGTAGCACTTGAGGCCACTCGTTTGAAGGTCTTTTGAATGCATGACTTGTTGGTCAATGGATTTAGAGCTTATTCAAATGGAAAGGCACTTTCATACACTGAAAGCTTTTCATTTAAAGCTTAAGATGGAGAATTGAACATCATGACATTGTTGACCATTCAATAAATTTAACTTGTTTAAAAATAACTCCAATGAACTACATTAAAAACAACAATGGAAGATTAAAAGGACATTTAACCCAACCGTGCTAAATTTAATACCCCTGTAAACTGGTTTACAACATAAAATCTCTAAAGTAGTTTTACCACCTACTGCGACAATCTACTTGCACAACTAAATCACAAAGCATATAGTAGTTTTTTACAGATGGCACTGGGAATTGGTGGAAAAAACCTGAATAAGTTGTAGGTTTTGGAATATGAAATATGGCACAATTTCTAGGTCCCTAATCAAAGAATGTACAATAATGCAACTGAGTCATTTTTAAAAGGTAATAATTAGGGATGCTCCGATCGATCAGCATAAGCCGATAATCATACTTAATCGGTACTTGCTGATCTGGCTGATCTCATGAACTGATTGCAAGTGTTTGTGTTAGTTGGATCAAAATTTTGGAATGGCCTTGCATGTATTTAGGCCTTTTTGAAACTGAACTGAAAGTTGTATTTTTTGACAATATTGCAAGTCCACTAAAACATGCCTGAAAATATTAGATACATTAACAAAAACTCAATTTATATTTATTAATCTGAATATTTTTTAATATAACTCATTGTAATTTACCATAGATCTTCCTTTTATTAAAGAAGTAATTTATTTATAGGTTATAGGTAGGGCCAGATGGAATCTGCTGACTTTTTTGCTATTTCTGCAGAGAATTTTGGTAAAAGTCTGCGGATTTCTGCTGAATTATTTTGGGAGTATCATAATTAAAACCTTAATATATGAAATAAAAAATAATATCTTTTTAAATTGTATTTAATGTTTAAAATGCAAATCTAATTAGATTCACTTTATTTGGTAAACAAAGCAAGTTTGTCATATATTTTATATAGTAAAAGACAGAAAATATTACTGTACAAACTGCATTGTACATAAATCAGATGAACATTTTCACATTAGTCAATAATATTACTGAAGTTAATAAAAAAACTGAATAAATATAGATTTACACACATTTACACAAGTAAATAAATGAATTAATGATGGGCTAAAAATCTGCGGAATTCTGTGCACGCAGATTCCGGGTGGGCCTGGTTATAGGCAAATACGTGCTCCAATCTTTTCCTTGATTGAGAGACCTATATGTAGAGCTTTTCTTTCATCATTTGCAATGTTTATTATAATTATAATTATTTAAAATAAATACTTATAATGGCAATAAGAGACATGTCTAAGGCATTATATGCAGCATCCAATATTTATTCTCTTAGGTAAGGAGAGATCACCACTGAAGTATCACACTAAGGGGGAAACGTGTTTTATGCATTATAAAGCTTGAAGCTTCAGAATCGGTACTCAGTATTGACCGATTACCATGACAAGCAATCGGTCCTCGCTATCGGCTGAAGAATCGTGATCGGAGCATCCCTAGTAAGTATGGCACTTTTACTATTGTACGAAGCTCGTACGCATCTTTTAAATAATTCCCCATCAGGAGAAGACACATGGATATGGTTAAGAGGAACGATGTGAGACGAACTTACGAACTGGAAGAGAGGGGGGAGGTCAAAAATGATTCGGAATTTGCAGGGTCATAAAACCATGTGCGCGACACAGTGGCTCAGTGGTTAGCACTGTCGCCTCACAGCAAGATGGTTACTGGTTCAAGTCACTGCTGTGTCAGTTGGCATTTCTTTTTAAGAGTTTGCATGTTCTGCTGTATTGGCGTTGGTTTTCTCCGGGTGCTCCGGTTTCACCCACAAGTCCAAAGACTTTTGGTATAGGTGAATTGAATAAACTAAATTGACCGTAGCGTATGTGTGTGAATGAGAGTGTATGGATGTTTCCAGTACTGGAAGGGCATCCGCTGTGTAAAACATATGCTGGATAAGTTGCCGGTTCATTCGTCTGTGGCAACCCTGATGAATAAAGGAACTAAGCTGAAGGAAAATATATGATTGAATGAATAAAATCATGTTGTATATTAATGTGTCAGAGCAAATTTCACCTAAACTCAATTGTGATATGTGCATGGACTTAGAATCTTCCAACAATTAGAATCTGCACCATGTACACCAGTGGTGCCCAAACTTTGTCCTGAGGGCCGGTGTCCTGCATATTTAGTTCCAACCCCAATTAAACACAACTGAACCAGCTAATAAGCTCTAGGTATGCTAGAAACTTCCACGCAGGTGTGTTAAAGGAAGTTGGAGCTAAACTATGCAGGGCATCGGCCCTCCAGGACTGAGTTTGGACTTCCCTGATGTACACCCAAACCTAAAGGATGCTACTTCAATTTGTCAATCTGTTTTTGTTTTGGCAAATGCCGGTAAATGTCTATTTTCCCTTTAAAATCAGCTAGACAGCAGGATGAAGCCCAACTTGACACCGACCAACGGTTTGGCAGATAAAAAGAAAACACTGCCACAGATGCCAATTACCCCAAGCTGCTCTTGCAAATTCAAATTACAAAGCATTTTCCGCCCATCTCTTTTTCATTTGGTTGGAAGCGTGACAGGAATGGGTTCGTGAAAGCAGTTGCTGTTGCATGTTCGTCTAACGTTTTCTTTAAGTAGCGAATGTGTGTGTACAGCAAATAAACAGTATGATACAAGGGCATGTGTCAAAGAAGACACAGCGATCTTTGAGAGCAAAACAGATTTTCCTCCCTTTTCTCCACGTTAAACTTGAGCTCCTGTTGCGGCAGACTGGCTCAGAACAGATTTACACACACACAAACACGCATCGAATCATCTAACGCGTGCTGGCTCAATCAGCCATCTCTCTCTCTCAAACACACACACCTGCTACTATCACACACTCATTGAACATTCCAGATGGGGCGTTCAGACATCCAGTGAAGGTGGGCAACTGCTGTTGAGGAATGAGCATTATGGACTGCTCGCGGCTTTGTGTTTCTTCTTGAGCTTCTTGAGTTTGTACACGTTAAAGGTCTTGTTTTTGAACACTCGAGTGAAGAGAGTTGAATACGGAGGCATGTCGGTCTTAATGCCCTCACAAAACCGCGGATGAGACGCTGGGATGAGATCCGGGTCATTTTCACCTGGGCCATCCATGATCTGTAATAAACACATACACAAATCGTTCTTGAAACAGTTTTTTTATGTGTGTGTGAAATCTAGAGCAGATCCTCTGATGAAGTAGGGTCTCAGAAGTCTTCTTTTAAAGTGCATTGCACTTCTTTATCTTTCAAATCGTAGAGGAAAAAAAATGTGCCCTAAGGTTTTTTAAACATTTACTTTGAGAAATATTCCCAAATTAACCAAAGGGCCTTGAAAAGCTGCTGTGAGATCGTTTACACACCCAGAGATAGAAAGAACCGCCACCCATGGGAGAGATCAGAGTGAAATGGGAAAAAAAAATAGAGAGAGAGAAGAAGAATATCCCACACTACACATTTCTAGGCCGCTGCTATTGCACATGCACCGCTTCTTTGGTGATTCTGTCTGCAATTAGCACGTTTTAATTAAGCCAGACAGATTTAATCAAGGTTATAATAACATGCAGAGAACATGCTAGAAGAGTGAATCTTATCCAAACGACTGGAGGCAGCCTGGAGGAAGGAACCGGGCTCCATCAAACGAGAATGTGAACGAAGCTCTTTCATTGACTGCTCAAAGTCGGATCAGAGGAGCAAGTGAGGCAAACTTCTGTGAGATCTTTCAAAGGCATGGCATTCACCTCAGACGCATGAATGACAACTGCTGACAAGCTATTTTCAGCCAGGGCTCTATACTTGGATGTGGAAGAGATGCTTTTTTTTTTAAAGCTGACTGAGCACAGACAAACATAAAGTGCTGCGGCTTAGATGTTAGAAATTTTGCTTTTGTCAGATATTATGAACTGCTGTAATCAACAGCAGAAGAACAATCAAGCTACCAGAGAGGAAAAAAAGTCACTCAAGGTAGATTGTGCTCAGGGTGGAGCGGTATTTAATAACTATGAGCTGTGGGTGAGTGAGAACAAGATTATGTGACAAAATGAAAAATGTTAGCGTCAACTTTACACAAACCGTTTATAGACATTTAATGTAAGAAATAAAAATACCTGAGCTTTGGGAGATGGAAATAAAGCAAGACCAGTGAGCTTAGCATCTAATCCAAATGATATTTGTTTATAGCCATGTGCAGAATGCAGTAAAGGGCAAAGTTGTTCATTTCAGCTGCTCTGAAACTCTTCTTTGGTTTTTGATGCAAAAGTTTAACTGACTATGTGTGTGTGTGTGTGTGTGTGTGTGTGTGTGTGTGTGTGTGTGGGCATGAACTGGAGCTGCTGTGTGTGACCTACATGTCCGTTTGCCAGGTCGAGCAGGTCCCTCAGCCTACAGCCACGGCTGTGCCTGCGCTCATAGCAGATGCTGTCCTCCAGCACAATGTAGTCTGTTCCAACCGAACCCAGCACTTTATGAACCTCCTCGGCAGACTGCCGTGCATATATCTGATAAACCTGCAGGAAAACAAATACATTATTTAAAAAAAATACATGCACACATCTGCATATAGGGCTGTCATTGATTAGACGTTTTCATCTAATTAATTACACAATGTAGCCATTAATGTTATTAATCTCAAATTAGTTGCATATTAAATGGTCTGAGAAATTAGCAATAAAAAAATGTAAAGTCATTATTGTGTTAAATGAGAAAAGCATCAAGCATTTACAAAAAAGAGGAAATAATTATTCAATGATTCATGGAATTTATAACAACTTTTTTATTGAGAAGTTGTATCTACTTATCTGAATATAATGGCATCATTTTGATATCTTAGGTTAGGTTTTCCCAAAATTTTCAGCCCATGATCCCTAAAATCACAATGCCAGTGACTCACGAGCCCCAAATTCCTCTTAGGTGGTTATAAATATGTAAACGTTGCTCATACAACAATTGCCATATAAACACGAGCATATTGACAACAAAAAAAGTGCAACAGTCTAAGAACCATATAATGTTATAGTCATTTATTATTTTGTATAATTTAATATTAACCTTAGCTAAAGAGACTGGTGGACATGATGTTTTCAGCACAAGTTTATTCTTGGTTTATTTTTGGAGACCGCTAATCAGAGATCATCCTCAATGTTCAGTTGTGGCTTGTATTTATTTTCAATGTATTCGAATGTCGTAAAGCTGTCAGAAAGTTTAACTTACAGCTATAAAATCAATCTACTATACAGCTCATGCTATTGCTGTGTGGTTAATCTAACGTAAACACACCATTCCTATAAAAATAAAATAAGGCTGATGGCTTTTTTATTAGCATGTTGTCGTTTTACTAATAAAACCTATTGTTTTTATGTTCTGTGGGTTGTAGTTAAAATTTGGTAAAAATTTTAATAATATTAATTTTAATATTAATATTAATTTTAAGTCATCAAGCAACCCCGTCATCAATTATAAGGTTCTATCTGCGTTCTCAAGGATTTTGAGGTATTGAGCTTCAATGTTTTTGAATTTTATATAGCAAACAGTATGTGTGTAACATTTGTTTTTAAAATAAAAGGTCTTAAAATGTAAACAACTTATAAAAACATCCCATAATGTAAACTAGATATTAAAGTTTGAGGACAAACTTTATGGTGGCTTGAAAAGCCGAATCTGAAAGTTTGAAGTGGTTTTAAAGTGTAAATAGAATGTTAGTATGATTTTAGCTTGAATTAACATATTACTAGCATGAATTAGCATGTTAGTAGCATGATTCTTACATGAATTAGCATGTTGTTAGCATGATTCTAGCATGAATTAGCATGTTACTAGCATGATTCTAGCATGAATTAGCATGTTGTTAGCGTGATTCTAGCATGAATTAGCATGTTACTAGCATGATTCTAGCATGAATTAGCATGCTACTAGGATAATTCTAGCATGAATTAGCATGTTACTAGCATGATTCTAGCATGAATTAGCATGTTGTTAGCATAATTCTAGCATAAATTAGCATGTTACTAGCATGATTCTAGCATGAATTAGCATGTTGTTAGCATGATTCTAGCATGAATTAGCATTTTACTAGGCGGTTGCTAGGGTGTTTTAAGTGGTTGCTAGGTGGTTGCTAAGGTGGTGCAAGGCAGTTGCTTAGGTGGTCTGACTAGTTGCTAGGTGGTTGCTAAGGTGTTGCTAGACGGTTGCTAGGGTGTTTTGAGTGGTTGCTAAGGTGGTGCTAGGCAGTTGCTAAGGTGTTCTGACTAGTTGCTAAGTGGTTACTAAGGTGATGCAAGGTGGTTGCTAGGGTATTCTGAGTGGTTGCTAGGTGGTTGCTAAGGTGTTGCTAGGTGGTTGCTAGGGTGTTCTGAGTGGTTGCTAAGGTGCTGCTAGGTGGTTGCTAAGGTGTCCTAAGTGGTTGCTAGGTGGTTGCTAGGGTATTCTGAGTGGTTGTTAAGGTGTTGCTAGGTGGTTGCTAGGGTGTCCTGTATGGTTGCTAGGTGGTTGCTAAGGTGTTGCTAGGTGGTTGCTAGGGTGTCCTGAGTGGTTGCTAGGTGGTTGCTAAGGTGTTGCTAGGGTGTTCTGAGTGGTTGCTAGGTGGTTGCTAAGGTGTCCTAAGTGGTTGCTAGGTGGTTGCTAAGGTGTTGCTAGGTGGTTGCTAAGGTGTTGCTAGGCGGTTGCTAGGGTGTCCTAAGTGGTTGCTAGGTGGTTGCTAAGTTGTTGCTAGGCGGTTGCTAAGGTGTCCCAAGTGGTTGCTAGGTGGTTGCTAAGGTGTTGCTAGGTGGTTGCTAAGGTATTCTGAGTGGTTGCTAAGGCGTTGCTAGGCGGTTGCTAGGGTGTCCTGAGTGGTCGCTAGGCCCTTACTAAGGCATTAATAGGCCGTTGCTAGGTGGTTGCTAGGCAGTTGCTAGGGTAATTTGGGTGGTTGCTAGGCAGTTACTAGGGTACCCTGGTTGGTTACTAGGCAAGCCTCACATACATGCTTGATAAAACATTTATACTTAGTAAGCATTTCTAGCAGGTTACAGTACTTGGCTAGTCAATATTAGCATGTAGCTAGTCACTGCTAGCATGTGTAGCATATAGAAAGTTCCGTTTGCTAGCATGAGTCAAACGAGCCAATCTCCAAGTCTCTATGATGTTCTGATGCTGAGATATAGCTGTTGATGAATGGTTGCTAGGGTACTCTGTTTTGTTGCTATGGGCGAGGTTACAGAGTGAACTTGAATGTGGTTGGTTGTCTTAGTCAAATGAACCAACCCCCATGTCTCTATGACACTGCTATGCAAAGATATGCATCTTCGCCTATTTTAATGGAAGTCTATGGAATCAATTTGGGGGCGTGGCTTGTGAGCTTTATTATCATATTGAGAAGCTCATTGGTTGTCTGAGTCAGATGAGCCATCCCCCAAGTCAATAGGACACTGCTATGCAAAGATATGCATGTAGGCCAGTTATTAACATGAGTCTAGTATGAATTAGCATGTTACTAGCATGATTCTAGTACAAATTAGCATGTCATTAGCATGTTTCCAGTATGAGTTAGCATGTCATTAGCATGATTAGCATATGAGTAGCATGTTGCTAGCATGATTGGCATGTCATTAGCATGTTAGAATTATAAGCATTTGATAGCACAGCTAATTACATTCTATAGGACAGTTGCTAGGGTGCAGTATGTGGTAGTTAAGGGTGTGGCTAGAAAGTTAAAAGGCCATCAGTGATTGGCTGCTGGCTAGACTGAGTTAAATGAGCTCAGCCATTAGTCTCTATGACAGTCTGATGCAGAGTTATGAGCTCACAAAGTTTGATCCCATGTAAAGTCAATGAGAGTCTTTGTAATAGAAGTCTATGGGACAGTTGCTAGGGTGCAGTATGTGGTAGTTAGGGGTGTGGCTAGAAAGTTTAAAGCTCATCAGTTATTGGTAGTTTGGTAGTCTGAGTTAAATGACCTCAGCCATTAGTCTGTAGGACAGTCTGATTCAGAGTTATGAGCTCACAAAGTTTGATCCCATGTTAAGTCAATGAGAGTCTTTTGAATGGAAGTCTATGGGACAGTTTCTAGGGTCCAAAAGTGGTTGCTAGGGCGTGGCTAGAAAGTTTAAAGGTGATCAGTCATTGGCAGTTTGATAGTCTGAGTTAAATGAGCCCAGTTAGAAGTCTGTGCGACAGTCTGACGCAGAGTTACGAGGTCACAAAGTTTGGTCCAATGTTAAGTCTATGGGATTTTTCCGACAGTCCCGGGACGTTTTTCGGAAAACCGAAAGTCGGATCAGTCTGAGGAGATATAGCAACCCGAGTCAGAATAGTTCGGAGGTCTGGTCTGAGTTTGGTGGTAATAGCTTGAAAGCTCTAGGAGGAGATGCGTTTTGTTTTTTAGTCTCAGAAGAAGAAGAATAACTAGACAGTAAAGTTCGTCGAGACAAACTTTGAGGCTGGCTTGACAAAGCCTGTTGGTAATAGTTTGTTTAGTTTAAAAACAGTTTGAAAAAGTATAAGTAGCATGTTATTAGCATGATTCTAGCATGCATTAGCATGTTTCTAGCATGGATTAGCATGGATTAGCATGTTATTAGCATGAGTGTAGTACAAATTAGCATTTTATTAGCATGATTCTAGTATAAGTTAGCATGTTTGAAAGTTTTTTCAAAGTTTGAAAAAGTATAAGTAGCATGTTATTAGCATGATTCTAGCATGCATTAGCATGATTCTAGCATGGATTAGCATGTTATTAGCATGAGTGTAGTATAAATTAGCATTTTATTAGCATGATTCTAGTATAAATTAGCATGTTATTAGCATGCTTCTAGCATGAATTAACATGTTACTAGCATGATTCTAGAATAAATTAGCATGTCACTAGCATGATTCTAGTATGAATTAGCATACTGCTAGCATGATTCTAGTATGAATTAGCAGGTTATTAGCATGATTTTAGCATGAATTAGCATGATTCTAGTATGAATTAGCATGTTACTAGAATGATTCTAGCATGAATTAGCATGTTACTCGCATGATTCTAGCATGAATTAGCATGTTATTAGCATGATTATAGTATGAATTAGCATGTTACTAGCATGATTCTAGCGTGAATTAGCATGTTATTAGCATGATTCTGGCATGCATTAGCATGTTACTAGCATGATTCTAGTATGAATTAGCATGTTATTAGCATGATTCTAGTATGAATTAGCATGTTACTAGCATGATTCTAGTATGAATTAGCATGTCACATAGCATGCTTAGGTGGTTGCTAGGGTATTCTGAGTGGTTGCTAAGTCGTTGCTAGGCAGTTGCTAGGGTGTCCTGAGTGGTTGCTAGGTGGTTGATAAGATGTTGCTAGGCGGTTGCTAGGCTGTTGCTAGGTGGTTGCTATGGTGTTCTGAGTGGTTGCTAGGTGGTTGCTAAGGCATTGCTAGGCGGTTGCTAGGGTGTTCTGAGTGGTTGCTAAGATGTTGCTAGGTGGTTGCTAGGGTATTCTGAGTGGTTGCTAAGGTGTTGCTAGGCGGTTGCTAGGGTGTTCTAA